ACACCTCAGCTACCGCTGGATCCGCTGGATCACATGGCCCCAGTGAGACAGCAGGCGGCACAGCAGCCTGGGCCTGTCGCAGAGCCTTCTCTGCTTCTGGACCCCACTCAGAACTTGCAGCTTTCCGAGTCACTCAGTAAATGCACCAGAGTAAGACACCTAAGTGAGGAATCTGTTGCCTCCAAAATCCAAATAGACCCACTAGGCACAGTGCCTCTTTCTTGGTTGAGGGGCCAGATGCAACAACTTACCCTTCACTTTAAAAGGGATATCTTTGTGTACTCTGTACCACTGGACTCATAGAAATTTCACTGAGGTAAAAAGACCTTGCATTTTAGTTATTTCCCCACCTCTGACATGCAAATGCAACGCTTTACAAACAAGTACAGACTGCTTGCTACTTCTTTCACTTCTTCCAATCAGCATAGCGTCATCAGTGTAATAGGCCATGTGAGCCTTGTGCAAGAAAACAACCAAGGTCCCTGTGGGTTAAGCTGTGACCCAGGGCTGGAGAGTTGGTTTAGCTCGAGGTGAGACACTGAAGGGGTATTGCTGGCCTTACCATCTGAAAGTAATTTCTTCTAGTGGGCCTTATGGACAGGTATGAATAAAAAGACATTTTCTAAATTAATAGCTACACTAGGTGTTAGATGTGTTAATCTGATCAGGCAAGAAACCACATCTGGTACAGCAGCTGCATTTGGAGTCACCATTTGATTAGGCAGTAACCCACTGCGATTATCTGACCCATCCACCATGTACTCCAGCGGTGGAACTAATCTCTGTGATCCCTTTAGTAATGCAATACTGGTTTTGATTTACTATTTTTCATGACAGAGGAGACTCGAATGGCTTCCATTTGGCTTTTACTACCATAGTAGCACTCATGTTATAGGTCAGGGAATCAATATGAGGATTCTACCACATGCTAAACATATCTATCCCAATTATGCACTCTGTAACTGGGGAAAGGACCACAGGATGGAGTCAGGGACCTACCGGACCCACTGTGAGTCAGATCTTGGTTAGAATTCCATTGATCACCTGACCTCCATTGGCCCTTATGAAAAGCCATAGCAATGTTTTATGTCTCTTAGAATCAGTATTCACACAGAACCAGTGTCCAGCAGTCCCTGAAATGCCTGATCATTTTGTTTTCCCTGATGTACAACTATCCTGGTAAAAGTCCAGAAGTCCTCTCTGAGGAAGGATGGGAGTAAAAACTGAGAGTGTAACCTTTTAGTGGAGCACAAAAATGCTTCCTTAAGGGGACCTACCCCTTCATTCAGAGAGCTCGGGGTCTGTACACTGGCTCAAATGGTTGAAAGGCTGTGAACGTTGGGTGGTTATCATTTGAGGTAGATTTTTGTTTACTCGCCTTGAAATTTTTCTGCCTATAAAAATCCAGTAGAAATTTAGTAGATTGCTTATCGATTTTGCTTCTAGGAACACCATAATTAATTAGCCAATCATTTACTTAAAGTTCCATGCAGAACACAAACTATTCTGATGGCCTGAACTCTTGCCTCAAGGTTCATTCTCAGCAGAGAAAGAATCACCAATGTAACTAGGGCATCGACACCACCTTCCAGAGCTGTGAAAGGTGCCATCTCACCTCAGTTCAACACAAGAAATGTTTACTTGTTCCCTCAGTTATAACAAAAGAAAATGCAGAGGTTTACAGAAACAAAACTATACAGAAAAATGATAGAAAATACAAAATTTTAAGAAAAAAAAATTTAGCAAAGGGAAAACTAATGGAAGGGTGAGCAAAATAACTCTAATATGCCAGACACCAATAACTTGAATATGCTCCATAAGAATGAGATGTAATTTTCTCTAAACTCTCTTACCGCCAAATAAGTTCAGAGTACTCCAAATAAAACAGCTGAAAGGAAAAGCATAAATAAAGCTAACAGTAAGAAAAGTAAGGCACCTTTCCTGGTTAACTTCCTAAGACAATAAATATAGTACCAGAGCTTCATGCAGGTTCAAGATGCCACGATGCTCTACCTGGCTCTGGGCCCAGAAGCATTGGAGCCAAGTAACCATGGCCTGACACCTCTGAAACGTGAAGAAAAATAAACCTTTCTTCTTTAAGTACTTTCCCAGGTGTTTGGCACAGCAATGCAAAGCTCACAAATTCCTCTCACGGCGAAAAGAAGTTATTACGATGACTACGGCTGTAGAGCAGTGCACATTGTGTTCCCTCTTCAAAGTAAACTAACTCATAAACGTGCACCGAAGACTGACCTTCCCACGCAGGTAAAGCTGGTGGGTGTCTATTAAAAACAGCCCAATCAGATTAGATCTGTAACCCTGCTTTTCAGAAATAACGACAGCAGTCTCCGGTGGCCACACCTGAACTTCCATTATTCACCACTGCTTTTTCACTCCCTACAACCCAAGTCTTTCCTGGGAATTGGATCCTGCAGGACCATCGTTCATCAAGATCTTAGGTGGATCCCAAATTATCTCCTGAATTCGGTAAATTGTCTGTGTACAAATAACACATTAGAAAAGCTGCTGTGCATTTGTTTGTTCAGTTCCCACTTAAGAACACAGTGTTGCTATGTGCAATAAAACTTAACTAGAACATAGAAAAGAACACAGAGTGTTTCTCGTCCATATTTGATTTTTATAAAGCAAATATTTTCATACATTCTGGAACATCATATGTTTTGCAAATATTTATTGAATCATTTATGTAGATAATAGCCAACCTGGTGTTTTTCAAAGCACATTAATTGGCTATTTAGGAATTTAGAAAGAAAGAAAAACTTTATTAAGATACACAAATATTTGGAGCTGCATGGAAGGAGAGAGACCCCACCACCACCACCAAGGTAGCCTTGGTGAGCCCCTTGAGCCCCAAGGAAAGAGAGGGACCCCACCCACTGCCACCCCATCCCTGCCACTGAGGGAGCTTTGGTGAGCCCTGCTGAGCTGAGAGGGGGGAGAGACCCCGCCCGCCCACCCCCACCATCGAGGGACCTTGCTTGGTGAGCCACAC